CATATTTACTAGTTTACTGTGAAGTTAAGGTTATTCTGCCAATTAAAGCAGCTCTCTTGAAATTATTATTAAAATATTAACTTAGATGATCTGCTTTTATTTTGTTAAACATCAACACTGTCATCCACTGCTTTTTGATGGTAAACTCCAATAATAGGTGGACTGCGCCATCTTGTGGCCATAGCTGGTAGAGTGCTATGCGCCTAAATAAGTGAAATTTTCCAGCCTCACGCAAATGATTAAAAATAAAAATACCGAATAAAAGAATACACATTAAAATGGATTATTAGAAATATAAATATCAGTTGTAAAAATAATAATGAAATAAATGTGGCTAAACTCCAAAAATGGACGAACTGCGCCATCTTGTGGCCATAAATTGTACTGTGCCTTGCTGTGATTCGAAATTATTAAAAGTTTAAAAAATACAGGAAACACACACTTTTTTAAAACCTTCTCTCTGCAGTGAACACAAACAACAAAAAATGACTGAACACTGCAGACGTGAATGAAGACTCACTGATGAACGTATCATTTTGAAATGGCTCCAAACAAACAACTATAAAACAGGCACGACCTTCATATTATATATTATATATTATTGATGTGTATTCACCTTAAGACGTACACAATTGTGGTTGAAGCAGCATCAGCTCTGTCCATCTTCAGAACATTTTCTCTCCAGTATCAAAAACGATGGAAACACCGTCATCCTTCCCCTCCACTGACACTGCTGTCTCTTCTGTGGAATACAACGCATCATTTAGATTTAGATAAGGTGAATGATAACTTACATATAACACACACAGTGTTTCCATAAGAAAATATAAATATAACATCCTGAAGTCCAGGAAACAACTCCTGTGTCAGAGGCCTGTCCAATGTCCAACCTGATTCTACACTTCATTATTTTTTTAATTAACAATATGTGTCAAATTATGCCAAAGACATTGATACATAAATTGACACATTCATTCTAAACACTCTGATGTTTGCACTCCCTTTCTCGCAATCAATTGATTCATGTGACATACACACTAAAAATACACACATGAGCCACACACACACGAGCCACGAGCCAGACATCGCAGCTTTTCACTTCATCTACATCGCAGAGAATAACATTTCTATTCTATTCTATTTGTGCTGCTCCAAATCACAACATAGATTATCTCAAGGTGCTTTAGATAGAACTTCAAGACCTTAGAAACTACCAAGAACCCCAACAATTCCCACAGTGAGCAACACTTTGGGGACTGATTTGATTTCCACTCAATACATTAACAACTACAATAGCATGAAACGTTAGATGTGTTTTAACAATACGGCACTGATTACTTATATTTAGTAGCATTAAAACCAAAACACACAAGAGCTGAAGAAGACCTTTCACTTTATTCTTATTCAGAATAGAGATGTCAAAGTTCACCCATTTACAATATCCTTGACATATATAGAAGGTTCAGTGTGCAGAGTTTCGTGATGTCAAGTGTTGAAGTTGCATGTTGCAGCTGAACACCCCTCACCTCACCCTCTCCTTCCAAACATGAAAAAGAAACTGTGGTAGCTTCAGTTGTCATAAAAACTCAAAAGGTGTTTAGTTTGTCCAGTCTGGACTAATGTAAAAAACATGGCAGCCTCCGTAGAGAGGAGCCCCTCGATGTCAATATAAAGTATTTAAATATAGAAGGCCTTTACTGGGTAAAGAAAACTACAATTCATACAATTTACATGAAACGAACTCATGAAAACATCATGAGGATTATTCTACATGTAATCTCTACCAATTGTTCCCTTTCACCTAAATCTTTAAAGTCAGAGAGTTTAATCCACCAGGTAACAGAATAACAATAAGTGTATAAGAAGGACATGAAGAAATGAGCCTTGAACCAGGACTGGTTACTTTTCACAACTCGTCAACACCTCGCTCCCAGAACAACTTCCATTACTGACCCTTCACAATAAAAGTCCCATACACATACTTCCTTCTATAGCATCACATCGTAAACCCTGATATTTCTTCTAACAATAAATGAAGCACCACAATTTTCAAGATGCTCAAACACTCAGAGAATTGAATTCTACATAATAAAAGCACCGTGTCTACTAAAGGAGGAGGCGTGACCCGCGTGCAGAGGCTAGCGCTAGCCGCTAACGCTCAGCTGCTCATCTAACCCCAGACTCCGCGTGTCAACACGGTGAATCAGTGACAGAGGGACCAACACAATGTGAACAACAGTGGGAGAGTGAATATGGTTCGAAACCCGCCTCACAGGATCAGCAGGGTCACAAACAATTCAGACCAGGAAGTGGAAAGGGAAGTGACGCAGCACGCTCATCTCATTATGTCAGCACGTTCGTCAGGTGGCCAGGCGAGCGGATCTCCAAACACCGTTTATTTAAGAAATTGAATTCATTGTTCAGAGAATAAATATAATCCTAAATAAATATTACATACTTATTTGTCCTTATTCGGCTTTTCATATTAATACTCTGTTTATCACTATTTCAAAACAACTCTTATGTACACGTGAAAACGTCATAGCACAGTGTAATGTCCCAAATGGCATGAAAATATTAGTTTAATGTACGAAACCAGATTAAGATATAATTTTATTATCACTACTCACATGTCGACTGGAAATATTTCTTCCAAACTGTAGCTGTTCAGACATTTTCTTACTTTATTCAAGACACAGTTCAGTTACATCAATCGAATCACAAGTGAGACACGAGCTTTCCATTGAAGACAATAGATTGTTATTTAATTACACGAGCCTCTGGGAGTTTTCTACAACTTTAGGTTTGACAGCAACAAGACAAGTCTTTGACAACGAAGTAGTGAATAGTGAAGTTACTGCAGCGCCATCTGCTGCTCAAATTTGTGACTTACACAGTTGGAGCTCTTACAAATAATACTGACATCACATTTATCTTATTCTTATACTTCACTAATCTTATTTTTAATTCCCTACACCACTCTCTGCTTAACTTGACACATTTTCTACTTTATACACAGATTATACTGCGACTTAATAGATCTAAAATGTAATATAATCTCAATAGTTGCCCTTAAATGCTTTAATGCTGCTTCATTTGCAATTGAAAATATTATTTTATGAGAGATTTCTAATTTCTTTGCTCTGTCTGAGAATTCGTCTTGTTTCTATTATTATTAGCAATAAAACTAACAAGACGATTATAAATGAAATTATATATGAAACATGACCTGACAGCAATTCTGTCAACACCATTMGAATTCGAACAGTTGTTGATTATTTCTTTTCAGGTGGTTGAGACATTCATGTTTAAATCAACTGATCCACACTCCAGTCCACAAGGTGGCGRTAATGCGCAGGGAACGACTCCTGGTTTGCCAACCGCCAATACACACTACAAGAAGAAGATGTCAACTTACACAGTGACGTAGTTTGCACGAGGAAGTGGATTGTAAACACTGCATGGACACTGGCGGTGTTCAGAGTGTAAAACGGACTCGAACGTGAAACAACCACGCTGTGCGAAACCTCCGCTAACATCTACGTGCTAATATTTACGCAGTGGACGCTGGAGCGAGCCGTGGAGGAGACATGTGCGCCGGTTTCTGCTGACATGAAAACTGTATGCAACACTGCAACAGAGACATTTTAATAATGATGGACAAGAGGTCATGTCACCCACAGCATCGCAAGCAGCACAAGTCACACCAAGCTCATTCCAGTGCAGACACAATTCAAACTGTAACATTTAACATTGGAATGTATTAGTCATTTCAAGTAAGATGCTTCTTTAAAATGGAATTTCTACATTAATCTACCAATATCAACTCAACTGGATTTGACAATAGGAAGCAAGAGACAAGAGAGAGAGAAAAGACAATACTGTGTAAACTTGTTTTCTATTTCGGACTTGTTTTTCCAATAAAGTGTTAGTTTTACGTAACAGAAGCAAATGTTTAATTGTTTTAATGACAGGAATGTATAAAGTTGATTGTGACGTCTGGTCTTTAACTCTGCGGGATCGTCTTCCACACGCTGTGGCCGTCCTCGCTGAGAGTGACGGCACCGCTGGCCACCAGCTCCATGGCGGCGGGGAAGGCGCGGTGCTCGGCCTCCCTGATTCTGTCGCACAGACTCTCCTCGGTGTCGCAGCTCGTCACGGGCACCGCCTCCTGCGCGATGATGGCCCCTGCATCCACCTCTTCCTGACAAGACAACATCTGTTTCACGTCTTCCAACACACACACACAAAAACAACTTGTCCCATATTACTTTTCTTTCATACTTACTGCCACAAAGTGAACCGTGCAGCCCGTCACCCGCACCCCGGCCTGCAGCGCCTGCTTCTGGGCATTCACGCCCTTGAATGACGGCAACAGGGACGGATGAATGTTCAGCAGTTTTCCTGCAACGGAAACAGACGCTGTTTAACGTGAAACCAGAATTAAATGTAAGAAAACGTTTGTCTTCTCGACGGCATCTTCACCGTTCCATTTCTTGACAAAAGTTCCTGTGAGGATCCTCATGAATCCAGCGAGACACACCATCTCCACCTTGAACTCCTCCAGGACGCGATCAATGGTGCCGTCAAACTCCGCCCGGCTCCCGTACAGCTTGTGGTCCACCACCTGTTCAAGGTCACACACGATCATTCAATTAGGGAACAAGTCGTATCACTGAAATTGGTTTTTAATACTTTTCAGAAATATTTTTTATACTCGTGTCTGGATTCCAGCCAGTGACGCTCTCTTCAGGCCCTGCACGCCCGGTCTGTTGGAGATGACGACCACAATCTCTGCCGAGCTGGACGGACGCTTGGCCTGCTCGATCAGGGCCTGGAGGTTGGTGCCTGGGACACAGAGCAACAATGACAAATCGTACTAACTAAACTTCTTCCCTGGGGTTTCTTTGCTCTCTCGTCCAGCAGGTTCTCATGGATCATGGCTGCTCCCTGTATTGGATCATGGTTCCCACTACTGCCTGACATCCACTCTTGTTATTACTATTAGTCATAATTCCATGACATTAATATTAACTTATGTATTATTGTAGCATTGTTACATATTACCACCACTGCTACTGTAATCATTGTTTTTCATTGTAACTGTACAATATGTTTCTGTTGCGTTGTTCTGTACACGTGACATCCATTGCACGTCTGTCCGTCCTGGGAGAGGGATCCCTCCTCTGTGGCTCTCCCTGAGGTTTCTTCCACCTTCTCTTCCCTGTTAAAAGGGTTTTTTGTGGGCAAGTGGGGTGTCACTACCTGTACAGATTGTAAAGCCCTCTGAGGCAAAATGTGTTTTGTGAATTTGGGCTATACAAATAAAATTTGATTTGATTTAAAGAAAATATTAGGGGGGAACTAAGTCCATCTAGTCTCAGGGTTTATGTGGAGAGATGTTTACTTGTCTACGTCCGTCAACCACAAATCAAATTATTCCTTTTACTCAGCGTTATCAGAGTCCAGCTGCAACTCTTATTTGCAGATGAACAAAGAACACACCTGTGCCAGAGATGAGAACAGCGACTCTCGTCCTTTTGCGTGGTGTGCCGTCGCTGCCGAGGCAACCGTTATTTTGCCCGACACCCGAGTGATCGGCGGCAGATGATCCTGCATTCAGCAAGCTGTTGCTCAGGTTACGCACAACCACAGCTTCTGCCCCTACATCAACACACACAATAAAACTTGAATTATCACAAACATCTGCTTTTTACGATTCTTCCTTCACTGTGCAACTATATTCAGGTATCATTGTTTCAGTAGCTGACCAGGCAGCTTGTGAGCCAGTGAGCCCACGATCCACGCCTCCTCCTCGGCTTGCAGCTGCCGCAGGACTCTCTGAGCGTCCGGCGGGGCGACCACCAGCACGGCGCCCAGGCCGCAGTTGAAGGTGCGGGCCATCTCGTCGTCGCTCAGGCCGCCCTCCTTGTGGAGCCAGGAGAACACTGGAGGGATGTTCCATCGGGACGCGTCTGAATCAGGCACAGAGACAACGTGGAAATAATCGCACAAACATTCTTCCTGTTTTCCTCTGCTAATGCAGTTCTGTACACTGTTTACATCAACACTTTTTTATGCTTATGATGCAGAAGAGGGTGACGTGTACCTAAATCAACCGCCAGCTCCTGGGGCAGCACCCGAGGGATGTTCTCCAGAAGTCCACCCCCTGTGATGTGAGCGTAGGCTTTCACGGCGCCGCTGCGGAGGATCGGCAGCAGCAGGCGGCTGTAGATCTTTGTCGGTGTGAGCAGAACCTCACCTGGAGGCAACACAATAGTTCAAGTGCGGGTTGCGATATCAGCGTTTTTACTTGGGGTGATAATAATAAGCACACGTACCGACAGTCTGTCCAGGGCCGCTAAATGGGGCGGGGGAGCTGTAGCTGAGGCGGGCCCGCTCCAGGACTTTGCGGACCAGGCTGAAACCGTTGCTGTGGACTCCGGATGACGCCACTCCGATCAGCAGGTCCCCCTCGGCGATGTCTCCCAGTCTGGGCAGCATGGCGCCCCGCTCCACTGCTCCCACGCAGAACCCGGCCAGGTCGTACTCACCCGGAGCGTAGACGCCCGGCATCTCTGCCGTCTCACCTCCTGGAAAAGGACATTTTTTGAACACAGACCTCTGACATCATTTACATGACTCTGATCACAAACATAAATAATATTGATCAATCAGTCCTCTTCTAATCATTCCACTGTCACTTCTCTCACCCAGCAGAGCGCAGCCCGCCATCTCGCAGGCCTTGGCGATGCCGCCGACCACAGAGGCGGCCACATCCACGTCCAGGCTGCCGCAGGAGAAGTAGTCGAGGAAGAAGAGCGGCTCGGCGCCCTGGGCGAGCACATCGTTCACGCACATGGCGACCAGGTCCTGACCCAGGCCGCCATGCTGCCCGCACGCCTGAGCGATCTGATGGACAAAACAATGCATTTTTAAAATCACCCTTTTTTTTTGGCACCTTGACTATTCAAATCCATTAAGGAAAATCTTTTTATCTCCAGACTCGCCAACAACGAGCTCAATCTGCTTCAAACATCCATGAAATAATCCTGGATGTTTCACACTTTAAATGAATCTGTATTTTCTTTTTAAGAAGCCAGAGTCTAAGCCTGTCTGCAGATAAGCTCGTCTCCCCCGCTGCTCCATTACTACGCAGCCAAATCTGGATCCTGTTTTCAATGCTTACTCATTA